ACACACAGATGGACATATTTAGATAGCCTTTTAACATGTTCTTTTATAAGAAAAATCCACATCGAAGTAATCCATGAAATGTATTACGTTCGACAACACGAAGGAAGAGAAGGACAGTTATCAATTGAATAGTGGTGAATTATTGTTGCTATACTCATTGTGTAACGGTTACCTGCATAATCATTAATTACACACTTGACTGACATAACAAGATGATACACTTCAGAATAATAATAGAAAGCTGGGAAGGCGAGAGTAGTGTAGAGGCGGTGGAGGGATGGTGGTGTGTGGGGAGGAACTTCTATTCGACAGTGACAACAGCTAACTTGAAGCATAATTTATTTATCCATTCAATATGGATCTGGCATATTGAGCAACTGTAGTGTTAAAGTGTTCTAAGTCAGTGGAATGGACTATTGAATGTTTATCTAGTTGTAAACACCGAAGATGATGAGTAATATAAGTAGTTATTTTTTTTAAGTTGCATACAATATTGATTTTATGCTGAAGCATTTAACAACTGAGCTTCAGTTGAAATCTGTTTCATTTCATTATCCGTGTCATTCTAGTTTGACTTCCTACCGACTGAGCAGCGAGATCAATTCCTACTTACTTAGGAATGAAGAGACGCAGAAAGAGAGAGGGAGAGACAGAGTAGATGAATGCATTTTGATTAAAATATCTGATATAATCTTAATCATGCAAAATGATTACATGTAATATTATTATTATTCCCTTGGATTCCGAGTGGAACATAGGACTTCAACGACACATCTCCACTTTCTTCTATTTCCTGCCACTCTCTTCACCTGGGTCTACGATTGTCCGTAATCTCTCATCTTGGCCTCACCCTCATATCGACGACCCACCCATCACTTCCCATTAAGATTCCACTCGAGTTATGGCCTGCATTCCGCGCGATGTCATTCGACGTTTCTCTCAATGTATGCCAGATCCATCTCCATTTCCTCCTGCATATTTCTTGTTGATTAAATGTAACAGCTGGATAATTATCGAATTCCACTACGAAATAAAGATGGTTTTTGCATGAAAAGTAAACAAGTTAGAGAATACGCCTTTAATAACAAAAGAAGTCAGATGCATAAAAAGTCAAATATTGAAGTCGAGACTAGAAGAAAGAATTATCACTACAGACTGTGATCTGTGTTTACTTACACATTTCGAAGAAGAATAAACTGAGTGTAGAAAGGAAAAAAAAACTTACCATAGAATTAGGAATTATAGGATAGATCACGAGTTGACGGCAGTTAGAGAACCATTTGTAAACCACCAGGGAGTATTGCACAGCTCGTTGTTTCGTCAGCCTCATTTTGGACTCTTCATCAATACACACCCACCGCCAGGGTTCGAACCCAGAAAATTCCGGTCACAAGGTGAGCTTGTAGACCATTGAGCCATTAGGAGCCGACGCAAAGTGGAACGAAACAGCTTTCCAGTACTCCCAGATTCTCAGATGGTTCTCTAAATCATTTTAGCTCTTGATCAGTCCTCCAGCCTATCAAATCCGTGCAAACCAACAATTGATCATTAATCTGATGCTCACTAGCGACTCCCACCATGTCAGAAGCACCTGAGGTTCCAGTGAGAATTCGTAATCATCAGGGTCCACCAAGTCAGGCAGGAGGACACTTACCCACCGGTGAAATTGGTTGACGATTGCGCTAAATATATATCACGAATTGGCAGAAGTCGAAATTCATGGACATTTGGGTTAGGTAAGGCTAGCTGTATGGTCTGCGAGCTTGGCTCGTAACCGGAAGGTTCTGGGTTCGAATCACATTGGTGGGTGAGTGCGGCTGGTGAGTCCTAAAGTAAGCTGATGAAACAGCTGGTTATCCAGTACTCCATGACGATTTTTAAAGTGGTTCCCTAACTCATATCAATCCGGAACCAAAATTCAAAAAACGAAAGATCTACCAACAAACTGATTAAAAAAATTATTTATTAATCTTATTGTGAAACCTGTCGAACAACACTTAGTACACATGAACAGCAACAGCCAACTAACAGAAATAAATATATAATAAAATCGTGACAGTCAAAACAGATAGTCACACAATCCATGGTTTGTGAGATGACGAAATATGAGTGCAGGAATGGATTATCAGGTAGATGTGGGCAATCGTTACTGTCTAGCTTGCCACCGAGAGACTTCAAAATGCACTAAACTTCAGACTCTCAGGTTAAAATGTTATTATTAGATGAACAATATAACCATTACTTTGGGGGTAGAAGATTCATAAAATTCTTGTTTCTCTCAGTTTCCAACTTGGTGTCCCTGAAATCCTCGGAAATTAGTCAGTAACTGTCGTTACACCCGACTTTGAGGACTCTGTCAGTAACAAAGTTTCAATACGATTTCAAAGAAACGCTTATCTTTGTGGGGACTGACGATGGATTCACGTCATAACATATAACAGTAACATATATTCACTCCATGTTAGGGGAGTGAATAGGCACCATTGATGCATCATAGACTTCAACGAAAGTTATCCATTGCTTCCTGGCGTTTATTGATTCACTTTACTAATATCCATTGGAGACCAATCAAATCATCCCGATCATGAGTCAAATTAACAAAATTATTAAGATCACAGTAGATAATCTGCTTGATACTATGCATGGTAATCAAGAAGACAAGCATATCTGCATGGAACAACATACTACTGATTGATCGAAATGAGTATATGTGAACGACTCAGATCAGCTGGCAGTGCTTGCTAGACAGATCAAGGTGATTCGAACACCGAGTTCATTAGAGCTGAGTGTGTGTGGTGTGAGGTGTGATTTGAACTGTGTAAACTGCAGATCGCTTACTAGTCTGCAAGTGATGAATCTGATTTACGATGTCACTAGTTTGCGCAAATACCCAGCTAGAAATCCGGTGTGGTTTGAAGTGATTCAGTACTCTGAGCTGAATCAAACTGGATATACCTCGATCTGACTAGTAGTCAGTGGTATACATCTACTCATCTCAATCTGTCAATATTGTGTAGTTTTGTGCAAATCATCACAAGTCGAATGTCTAAATGAAGAAAGAAAGATTATCAGTTGAGCCAATGGAAGGGAAATAATCGTTTTTTGTATGATTTATTGTGGTTATTTAAGTGACCACCTGTAGGTGTGTGTGTATTGGATACTTTGATTGGACAGTAGGTAGTAACTAGTGTCATGTGTCTAGTTCAATCACGAGAGTAAATAGCTCAGTGGTGGTGTCGCAAACTACAGCACTGCGTGACGTGCCTTCCACTCTCAGAATGACCGTCAGTTCCTCCAAGATTGTAGAAACACGCCCTGCCGACGAGTGCCAACAAGCATGAGACCTAGATGCAAGGCAAGCCATTGACTGCCTTCAGACACCTAATAACAATAATTCAGTGTGCACTATAAGTGCACTGGCGGGTCACCAGTATGGTGGCCACATTGCAAACTTGAATGATAGAACTCAGTCTGTAGAAAACAAAGGACTGACTAGTCACATAACACCAGTTACTATCTGGTACCCAATCAAGGTATTTATAAGACTATTGGTTTGTATGGATTTGATTGGCTGCAGGATTTCATCATCAGCTGACATTGGCCAGAGAACCATTGAAAAACCTGTGAGTACTAGACAGTTGTCTCGTCCTAGTTTGAGACTCTTCCACAGCAGTACGCACCCACCAGGTTTGAAACCCAGGATTTCTGGTTACAAGGCGAGCTCGTAGACCATTAAGCCAATGGGACCCCAATGCATCACATGATGAAATCCTGTAACCAATCCAATTCCTACAAACCAACACTTGAATATCGATGAGATGCTCACTAGCGACTTGCCCAATTCAGGTAGGTAGTTACCTGGGGTTCTAGTGAGACGTCGTGACCAGTAGGATGCAGCAGTTTGGGTGTGAGGACAAATACTCGCCGTAGATATTGGCTGGCGATCGCGCTATGTCTTGAATTGGCAGAATGTAGAATTAATAGCCATTGGATCATGTCCCAGTGGCTTAATGGTATACGAGCTCGACTTGTAAGCAGAAGGTCCTAGGTTTGAACCCCGATGGGCACGTACCACTGAAGAGACCCAAAATAGGACGAAACAGTTGTCCAGTACTCCCTGGTTGGTTATCCAATGGTTTTCTGACCAATGTCAGCTCATGATGAAATCCTGTAACTGCTTGGAGATATCTGAATAAGAATTCTAAGTGAGTCATGACTGATACCTTCCAGCACTGGATTACGTAGACGAATAATTCACTGGATGACAACTAACGCAAGTAACAAATGCTTTCATCGAAGATATGTGTAAATGAAGCATCATCTGAGGTTGGAAGCCAACCACGACATTACTAATTTTCACCTGGATCAGAATCGTTGTGTTATGGTGTCCCTGAGATGACAGTGATGGGATAATAGTTTATTTGACGTATTTGAAAATCCGGTTCATCTGATCTGATCTCGTATAATATAAGACCATGATGTTTCAAATCATTCTTTCCAGGTTAGTAATTTAAAGATCACCGGTTTGAATCATGCTGTGACACGCGTGTTCGTTTCACCTCCAATTATCACGTACTCTGTCCCCAACCTCACTGAAAATCACACACGAACTGTGATGTCAATATCAACAGTTTTTCTCCTAATTTCAAACTGTGAACATGACATAGATCATCCTGTCTAGCTATCTCCGGTTATTTCAACCCATCTCGTCTCTCATTCTCATATGAGCCCCTTCTCTCAAATGTAACAAATATTCAACCCTGTAGATTGTCTAAATATAGCTTACATTGCCGTTTTTCATCCCTCACAAATTCACTGATTGGTCAGTCAGTCGGGCGGATTTTTATTAGAAAATTTGCTATCCCCAACACAATGACAATCACTCACATGCTTCCCGCTGATTGGTCAGTCAACAGACATGTGACATTAATTCACTTTAATCACATTTCTGAATCAGACACACGACCATTTTCCATACAGAACTGGAATCCTATAACATCATGGTGTTTCTTGATAAAAGAAATATGCTAACTGGTAATCGGTCGCCTGAAAACACTGTCGCACGTAAACTCTTTGCAAACAGATTGTCAAATACAAAACCAGAGGGATGTGAAACACCCGAAATACAAGCTAACCATGCATGTCTGCAGAGTATGAGAAGAATTCAAGACAAGTACTGTATTGACTTGAATCAGCTGAACAACTTGAATTCAGTGAAGGGTGAACAATGTGTTTGGAAGTGGGAATTAATTGACTTGAGAGAGGAATATGTACCTTCATTTTATCATCCACGGTGTTACCGATCCGACGGTGCATTGAATTCTCACAGCAAAGGAACAGTAGGCAGTTCAACTGTGAATCACTCAATCAAGTGTTATGAAGGATGGAATATTGTGGAACCGAACTCAACTGAGAAGGATAGACGGAACACTTCATTAAGTAATGAGATCAAACACACAGGATCTAAGAGTCAAGCATGCACTTTATTCACACTATGGAAACCGAAAATTCAACGTGGAAAGTCTGTAGTTTCAAATCGATGTCAAACAACAGAATCATGTAAACCAATGAAGAGAGATCCAGGAAAGTTCGATGGGTCGAGTCATCGTTCTCGAAGTCTGGATAATTATCGCCGTAGTTTACTTGGTGTCAGTACAACTGATTGTCGTGATGAAAACAAATCCAGTGAATCATATTGTTGTAATGATCTTCAATTGGGTGGTGTTAAGGAAAGTAAACACCAGTTGGGGCGTGACTCTCTAACTCAAAGAGTTACATGTAGACTTCAACAGTCAAAGATCCCTACCATATTTGCCCGCAATGTTCGATGGAGTCGCTCTGCAAATAATATGAATGATTTGAAATCGACTGCCTCGAAATCTCCAACTGAGACACAATGGTAAGTACTGTACAGTTGTTCTCTTCGCGTTGACTATCATGAAATACTGAGTAATTGTGAGACAGTGACTGAATAGAATTGGAGGCATTGAGGGGTGATTACTCGGAGATTTGGCGTGACAATTTCAGTCATATAATAGTCACTCTGTGTGTACACACTCATCATATTTGTATATTTGTTAATGCACTCGATCATACACACACACACACAAATTAGTTTGTTCCATGTAGTTGAAACATGAGACCTCACCAGGACCTAAGGATTATCCCATCTCAGTGAACTACCTGCCATTACACAACTATCAGTTGAATGCTCCAGTTGATGGCAATATTTGTTGTTAACTATTGGGATTGAACGTGTGCATTCGCCTGTTGTTTCTTATGATGACATACGCTTTCGTACAGCCTGTAGTCATCATCTAGGAAATAAGTGGTCATTAATTATTCTATTGATATTCATAAGGCTGCAATGCAATGTAGGTATGAGTGAGTGAGGGATGCTTGAAATTCCATTGTAGTCTCTGTTATCGGTGTAATATATTGTTAGGTGTTCTTATTAACTGTACAATCAATTTGGTGAAATCCCTGTGACCATTACATGTAGGGTTACTTGTTGAGGTCAAGCGTGTGCGTTTGAGTTAGCCTGCATAGTCGGTAGTTGTTGTCAGTTGTTGAGTGAAAGTGAAATTTGCGTAGGGTAGAATTAATTGGCGATTGCCATTTAGATGTTTAGTTGATTAAGTGAATGTATCGACAGGTGTTGTTTTCTTTCTATTGTGTTTCACTTGTTATTGTTGTATTGCTGGCTTTTGTTAGAACTATACGAATGAGGGGAAAAACAAATGGGTAGTATATTATCAGACAGTTAACATAATCATTTAATGACATGAAATATTTCACAATAATTGAGTATATTTGAATACTGCCCATCCACTGAAGTTGATTGCGTAAACTTGCTTGAGATGCATCATGGATAAAAAATGGCTGTTGAGAAAATAAGGACTGACGGTTAGTTTGTAGATGTGTCAGATTATATATATATTATGTAATTGAATGTAAAACTTACGTTATTTGTTCTGTAGCATGACAGACTTGCTTGTTTAGTTGAGTATTATATTCTTGCTAGCTATTCAGAAAATGTTTGATAAATGGCAAGGATGCCCTTGAAACACCACTAGAATATCTGAAGTCAGGTAATTACTGTGTGTGTGTGTGTTTGATGAATCGCTGGTGATTAAAAGCGATTAATAGTCACACTGTATCACCAATTAATACAGGTAGACATCCTCAGACAGTTAGATTTCAGCCATGATGTTTGTATAGTGACATCATAGGTTGCAACTTAGATAGGAAAAAAGGTTCACTCTGCTAAACAGTTTCAAAATGAATCATGTATAGCTGTCCAGTTTCGAGTAGTTCTCTAGGTGGATTAACACGCGATGAGCCGATATACTGTAGAGTTACCATGGCTTCTATGAAGTGTCATTTAAATATGACAGAATTCCTGCATATGCTGTACAAACATCATTTTCTAATGCGTGTTCTATTAATCAATTTTGTGTAGAATAACTACTGGTGATTCATTTGTTTGTTCCTTCTCAGATATTCTCTGGTTACTGATTTACTACGCATTCAATATCCAATATCAAAGTCCATACAGATTTTTCTTTGTCTCAGCAGTGTCATGACCAACTCACAGTGATAGTAATGACTTATTTCTGTGTATATATTGTTCTTCATATTGTTAATATTCACATTTCACTTGGAAATACTTTTATAAATATTTCTTTCTTTATTTAAAAAAAAGAATTAATCTAATTTACTTATAAATTTATCTATACATGAAGTCTACTGTACACTGACAAGTGAAACACGCATGAAATTACACAGGAAACGCTGTACAACTTGATGACGTGTTTCACTTTCTTTAACTCTCCATAATTAGTAATATTCCTTTTCTTTCATAGAAGTGTTAAGTATACTTATCTTTTAATAAATACTGGTATTTCTTAATCATATTGCAGTTGATGGAGATGACAGTGAATTCAATACATTTTCTGATCAGTTCTGTCCTATTTTTCTCGTTGTTGGGCTTGTCGAATTTGTTGTTATCTGATATAAGAGTTGTCAATTTATTAATATATATACATCTCTATCCATTAGGACCACACCTGAACCTCTGCCAGGACATGTTATTATTAAATCTTTATTGTCTCTCAGTTCTCTGAGATGTCGTCTGTGTTCTTTTGTCAGCAGACGTGGGGCTTTAGTTTTCAAGCTGAGATACTGATTGAAGATTGTTGACTGGAAGTGTAGGAATTCTGTGTGGGAAACTGGAGTAATGTCATTCGTTTGGCTTCTAAGATTCTCGAATTGAATATACGTGTGAAATCTGTTGCTGTTAAGATTTACTTCACAGAATTTTAGTCCAAGAGATAGAGCTTGTAGTTGTACGGGTGACATCGAAACTGAAAAGTGATTGAGGACAAATTTAACACCTCTCTGATCTACTTGTTATCTTAGTTGCAAATCGAGTTGATGGCATGAAATAAGTTAAGTGATCGCTGCTCAAAGATGATGATAATCTTAAAGTATTAGGTCGGAGAATGTTTGGCCAAGGAATTACGGTTAAAATGAAGCCAAATTTATTTAGTGCATGATTTGTCGATGGTGAAATCATGTATGATGAATTTGAATTGGTGGATTACAAGTGACATCCCAGAATGATTTCTGCTTATATTAGAGTGTTAGTTAAGATGATTGAAGTGTGATGGATATAGAAGATACATTTGATTTGCCCATGACTGAACCCATCTGATGAGGAAAGGAACGACACTAGATTTGGAGTAGTAAGAAATCGAAGTCTACCTCACATAACTAATTGTCATTTCAGTCAACCATAATCTCATTTAGTCTTGACAGACTGACAGAATTCAGCATATCGAAATCATGAGCTGACATCAGTTAGAGAACCATTGGAAAACCAACAGGTAGTACTGGACCACTGCTTCGTCCTAGTTGGGGAGTCTTCACAGTTCGCACTCACCGGTGTTGAAAATTAAGACTTTCCGGTTACAAGTGGAGTTCGTAGACCATTAAACAGCCACTGGAACCCGATCCAATGACCAACTAGCCAGCCAGCCCATGAATTCCATCTTCTGGCATTAATTCACGATGTAGTGCGACTGGCACTAGCCAATGACATCGGAAGTGGTGGGGAGTATTTTTCTACACACGCAACCTGCTCTTTACCTCACTGGTCACGACTTCCTAACTGGTTATTATTAGCATTCGGCATGCAGCACAGTAGGTTTGTCTTGATTATAGACACTTTGAATATTATTGAAAGAAAGTCAGAGACATTAAAGCTACTGGTGGGAACTGCTAACCTGCATTATTCCACAATCCTGTAGTAGGTAGCAATTAATTCTCTGTTCTTCACCAGGTCTGATAATCTCTATTTCTTTCAAGATGTTTTTCCATGAGACGAAGTACTTGAAGCACCTTGATTAAATTAAAAAAAGTGGAATATAAACAGTCAGAATTAAAATGCATATAATCGTGTCATTCATATGAGAAAGTCTTTCGACAGCATGAAATTTTGTTACAAATCTTCGAATACATCATTTTCTGTCGATTATTCTCCGTCAACATCATCGTCAACTGCAACAACAACAATAATAATAAAAATAATACAATGACATATTAAGAAGTCATTACCAATCTACTCATTCAGGAATCGATCGTCATCTGGATCTGTTTCATTACCGCCAAAATATACACATGTGAACTAATTCCTGGGCTCTGATAAGTTCTATTGCCTCACTCCTCATTTTGTACTCTATTATTCATGGATTTATAACTGTAGAGCCTGAAGAAGAAGTTATCAAACACAATTGTTCGCTCAAATTCTTGTTTTGATTTCAATATGGGGATTTTTCATTTACTAAACAATAATTGTTTATTTATTTCATTTTCTTTAATGTAAGTTACAATTTGTACTTTTGATTTAATTTTAAAAATTTCCTTTTGCACTCGAAGACAGAAGTGCAGATTGCTGAATTTGTCGACTTACTTCCTTACCTCCGAATTGGAACATAAGGTTTCAGTAATATATGTGCACCACAATCTTTTTGGAGTCGGTGGCATAGTGGTTAGGACGCTCGACGACCATGCACATGATCCGGGGTTCGATCCCCAGCCGACGCACTCCTTTACCTCGCTAAGCCAGAAATAATACTGGTGAAGAGGAAAGGTTGGGCATGAGGCTAACAACCCCATCCTGTAAAAACAAACACTGCTACAGAAACTTCAAGCCACTAGCCTGAAGTCCTATGTTCCACTGGGGAACGTGAAGGGAAAAAAATCTATTATCTGTCATCACTTTTACTTGACTGCACATTGTTATTACTGTTATTGTTCCCTAGGTTTCCGAGTGGAACACAGGGCTTCAACAACAGATCTCCACTTTGTCCTATTTTTTGCTGTCCTATTTAGCTAAGTCCACGATTGCACATAATCTCTTATTTCCTCCTTGCCACACGATCTCCTGAATGTTGCACTCGGACAAACATGAAACTCATCATTTCTTATTGGTATTCCACTAAAGCGATGGCTTGCATTAGTCGCTATGTCATTCAATGGGCTCCTCAGCATTTGCACAATTTATCTCCTTTTTCCCCTACACATTTTCGGAACGAAATTTTCTTCGTTTGTTTGTTCCGATAGTTTCTTGTTGCTGATTCTTTCTGGCGTGCTATTTGATCTTCAGTATGGAGCTAGCGAAGGCAGCTGTTGATGAAATCTGCAGCAGGCTGTTGGGAATGCTACTTATGACGCGCTAACCATGCCTCTGACCCACATAGAACAGGTGACTGACTGACTTCACATTGGTGTTGAAAATCCAAATCTTGTTCATCATGTTGAGGTTGAGGCAGAAGATTTCCAAACCGAATTCACAGTGATGAATTCATATCTTACCTTTCGGATTCTGGCTGCCTTTGAC